TAGTTTTAGTTAAATAATCAATTGTAGTTACTGATAGATTTATTATACGGAATTCTAAAATTAATTTCACATATTTAAATTTGGCATTGTTTTTTTATAAAATGTGCTCCACCCGTAAAATAATTTAACCAACGGAACATATTTTCAAAGATGCGGTATATGACTCAAAGATCCAAAATGGAAGATTGCGTATATCATCAAAAACTTGTCACCAGTTTCCAATCTTATAAATTAATAATTATTTTAGTGTTTATTTAGTAGATAATTTGTGTTTCAAAATTGTTTGATAATATGAATTATAATAGCCAAGTTAGTATTTTGTGTTGATATAGTGTTTGGATAGTGAGATAAGAGCATTTAATAATATTGTGGAGTGTTTGGGTAGTAGGATAGTAGAAGTTAATAATATGGATATTTTATTAATTAAAAAATTTGAAAAATTTGAGAATTTGTCACATCATCAAAACTATTTCTCGTTTAATATATAGAAGATTTATTAAAAAGAAGATCGATTTCTATGGTAAAATGCAACAACAATCTCTTATGTTTCCAGATTTTCTAACACATTCTATCCCTTCTTTTCAAACGCTGGCCCAAATATACAATCAACGAGGCATTCATAATTGTCGTACTTCTGTATCACACATGTATCTGGCATGCATTCTACATACTTAATTGTCTTATTCTTTGTATATAAACAACCAAAGTTATTAAGATTATAAAATTCTATATACCCTTTCCAAATAATAGACACATACATGAAAAAGGATATTACTGATTCTATATTAAAGAAATGTAAAGTGTTCAACTATTGATTATACTCTCAATGTTCGAATCATAGGTGGTATGCACAAAGGTTCGTGAAGGCGATAAGAGAATAGTCAGGCTGAAGGAAGGAAACCCCGCTGGTTGTCACTGTTGGATATCAATTCAAGTCCCACATCCAAAGTTTAGACATGAATTGTCTAGTATATAGGTAATGTTCAATTCCAATTAGTATGACACCTTTTGGGAATGAACCAAGAACAAATTCGTGCGGGCTTTGCCTATGGGCCCAAAGCGGACAATATCATACTAATGGGAGAGTTGGACATGGACTTTAAAAGCCCCAATAAATGGTTACAGAGCCAAGGTTCAGAGAAGTGGACCCGGAGAAGTGGGTTGGACATGTTAGGTAACCTCGCGAATAAGGGTGCCAAGAGTACAAGCGGTACAAGAAGGGTACCAGGTTTCGCTGGATCTTTTGGAAAGGAGCCCAAGAACAAATCCATGCGGACTTTGCCTCTGGGTCCAAAGCGGACAATATCATACTAATGGAGGAGTTGGACATGGACTTTAAAAGCCCCAATAGTCACGTTGTTATTGTTGATGATCTTGTGCAGTCTGGGGGTACACTCATCGAGATTCTCATGAACTACAATCTCCCTGCATTTTGCATCTACCTATAGCAATCTTCAATGAGTTCTTAATTAAAAGTGTGAATTTAAAACTCAGGAATGTGTTGATTCAAACCAGTTTTGATACGAAATCTTTGTTAGTTAATTAATCTGCAGATAATGTTTTATGAAATTTGTTGAGAATTTAGTTTGAAAATTGGCAAGAAAATGGTAGTTTTCAATCGGTCTTAACCGTTTCACTTTTTTTTTGTTTCACTCAGAAAGTATTGGCAGCTCATGGAGCTGCGAAGGTGAGTGCTTATGTAACTCACGGTATCTTCCCAAAGAGCTCATGGGAGCGGTTCACCCACAAGAACAATGGTAAGTACTATCAAAAGCAATCGACTTTGTTAATTGTTTTATACATCTTGTTGAATCTTAAAGCTGAAGTCTCTATTCTTGTTGTTGCTTTGTCTTCAAACTAGGATTAGAAGAAGCGTTTGCGTACTTCTGGATCACGGATTCTTGTCCACAGACGGTTAAAGCCATAGGAAACAAAGCTCCTTTCGAAGTCTTGAACCTCGCGGGATCCATTGCTGATGCTCTGCAGATTTGAAGCAATAGAGATAAAGAGCATTGGTCTTTACTCGTCCTGGTGTTGTACTCTTAAGAGATGATCAGTTTATGACAATAAATCATATCTGGACAGATTGTTGAACCTCGTACTACTCGGTTCTGGTTGAATTATTATGTTATCTTTAAGTTGAGAAAAGAAACTAACAATAGGAAAATCATTTTTTATCTTGCTATTTGGTATTCACAAGAACCCATTTGTATAATAAAAATAGGTTTTATTGTCATTGAATTCCACTATAAATTGAGAACTAACAATAAAGAATTCATATTTTTGAAAAAGAACATTATTCATCGCTCAAAATCTCCAATTACTAAAAGGTGCAACAACAATCTGCTTTGTTTGATTTTGATTTTGTAACACATTCTCCTCCAGTGTACCCCTTCTTCGGCTTAGCCACACAATCAGTGGAGCATTCATGAGTCTCATACTTTCCCTCAACACATTTATTATGGAAGCATTTTCCGTATTTCACTGCATATAAACAACCCATGTTATTATTAAGATTATATAATTCTATATACCATTTTCCCAATAATAGACACATACATATAAATGGCTATTACCGATTCTATATACTAAGAAAATGTAAAGTGTTCAACTATTTTTCTCAAAATGTGAAAGACAATTCAAAAAATTGTAAAAGAGATCTCTTTGTAAGAATCATCATACCTAACACGGGTGAAACGTTGGAGTTGGACAATGAAATAGTTAGTGTTATTACCAAGAAAAAAATGATTGAGATTTTTTTGATATCCATTATAATTTGCTTAGTTTTGTTTCTATTGAGAAAAAAATGTTTTATAATTTTTTGATGAAGAGATCTATTTATATGATTATTTTTTTCTGGCGAGAACAGTTATTATTTAATTACTACCCGATTTTTTTTTGGGTTCATAGATGAATGTTCCATGTTTTAATGATAAAAAAATCTTTGACT